GTTTTATACACAAACTGAGACTGGTAGGAGAGAATAAAACTTACCTTTGGCAGAATAAAGAGGTAAGCATCATGTGACAAGAATCAAGGGAATGAATAAAGTTTGGTGGAAAAGCATTCTTCTGTTTCAAGATATTTGGACGCCTAAAGAAAATAATAAATTAACTGTATGTTTTGAACTGTAATATTATAGAGTCTAATAATTTAACTTCCATATATAGATTTGAAAAACTAAATACTGCATTAGCTTGATTTAATAACCTTGTTAACTGTAACAAAAACAAAAGATATTCTACGCATAACTTCAATATTTATTTTTCTTCTATGTAAATAACCAATCTTTATTTTAACTTCATATATAGAATCTATTCAAATTCGCCACAGTTACTGCATTAATGTAATTTCCTACATAACACACAAAATTCATGTACTCAATTTCACACAGCAGTATCATTTAGATAATCTCTCTCTTTGCTTTCTGTTCCAGTAACTATTGTAACACAGCCATGATGAATGTATATAAAAAAAACAATGAAATAAAATGGAATAACTCTGACAAGAACTTGAGCTATATCTATTCTTTCCTTAAATCAACAACATTATTTCAACTGAAGCTCCTACAACCAATATCAAAATGCTGACATGGATTAAGCAATAACTATTACATTCATGGGTCTCACACAGACAATATAGTTTATTTATTCACGAGTCTCACACAAACAACATGGTTTATTTATTCATTGGTCTCATACAGACATTATAGTTTATTCATTCACAGGCTTCATATGGACAGTATGGTTTATTTATTCATTGGTCTCATACAGACATTATGGTTTATTTATTCACAGGCTTCACACAGACAATATGATTTATTTATTCACAGGTATCATACAGACATTATGGTTTATTTATTCACAGGCTTCATACGGACAGTATGGTTTATTTATTCATAGGCTTCATACAGACATGGTTTATTTATTCATGGGTCTCACACAGATATTATGATTTATTTATTCATGGGTCTCACACAGACAATATGATTTATTTATTCACAGGTCTCATACAGACAATATGATTTATTTATTCACAGGTCTCAAAGAGACATTATGGTTTATTTATTCACGGGTCTCATATAGACATTATGGTTTATTTATTCACAAGTCTCAAAGAGACATTATGGTTTATTTATTCACAGGTTTAATACAGACAGTATGGTTTATTTATTCACAGGCTTCATACAGACAATATGATCTATTTATTCACGAGTCTCACACAAACAACATGGTTTATTTATTCATTGGTCTCATACAGACATTATAGTTTATTTATTCACAGGCTTCATATGGACAGTATGGTTTATTTATTCATAGGCTTCATACAGACATGGTTTATTTATTCATGGGTCTCACACAAGACAATATGGTTTACTTATTCATGGGTCTTACACAAACAACATGGTTTATTTATTCATGAGTCTCACACAGACAATATGATTTATTTATTCACAGGTCTCATACAGAAAATATGATTTTTTTATTCACGGGTCTCATACAGACATTATTGTTTATTTATTCATGGGTCTCACACAAGCAATATGGTTTACTTATTCATGGATCTTACACAAACAATATGGTTTATTTATTCATGGGTCTCACACAGACAATATGGTTTACTTATTCACGGATCTTACACAAACAATATGGTTTATTTATTCATGGGTCTCACACAGACAATATGATTTATTTATTCACGGGTCTCATACAGACATTATTGTTTACTTATTCATGGGTCTCGTACAGACATAATAGTTTATTTATTCACAGGCTTCATATGGACAGTATGGTTTATTTATTCATAGGTCTCACACAGACAATATTGTTTACTTATTCACGGATCTTACACAAACAATATGGTTTATTTATTCATGGGTCTCGTACAGACATAATAGTTTATTTATTCACAGGCTTCATACAGACATTATGGTTTGTCTATTCACAGGCTTCACACATATAATATGATTTATCTATTCACAGGCTTCACACAGACAATATGATTTATCTATTCACAGGCTTCACACATATAATATGATTTATCTATTCACAGGCTTCACACATATATAATATGATTTATCTATTCACAGGCTTCACACACATATAATATGATTTATCTATTCACAGGCTTCACACAGACAATATGATTTATCTATTCACAGGCTTCACACACATATAATATGATTTATCTATTCATAGGCTTCACACATATAATATGATTTATCTATTCACAGGCTTCACACACATATAATATGATTTATTTATTCACAAAATATCATGATTTATATATTCATGGATCCTATATGAATATTATGTTTAATGTATTCATGGGTCCCATATGGATATTATGTTTAATGTATTCATGGGTCCCACATGGACATTTCTATGAAAATTGTCTAAGTCTATCTTTATCCTTCCACACTTTCTCTTTAGATGAAACTCTGGAATCAAACTAACAGAAATATATCTACATCTAGGATTTACAGAACGGTTTATTTCATGAACAAAAACCACCCAAATGTTTAAACATATTAGTAGCCAATAGTTAAATAAAACGTGAAAATTACTATCACCAAGACACAACAATGTGTGAGGTATAACATCATATCACTTTATTAATTGATTAAAAAAATTATAGCAGTTGGAAAAACTTAGCTAAGTATATTCAAGTAAAAGTTTTCAACATTTTCATGCAGGCATTTTTGAATTTAATTAGTATCTTTGTAAGCAGTACATAATCAGATCTACCTCATTTTAATCTCTGTCTTGGGTAACTTAAATACTCATTACTAAGTTCATACTAGCATATTTGAGCTACTGTATTACTTTGGTTCGTGTGTGTTCTTTGCCGTAGATGCTGGTGGTACAATGGTCTGTATAAACAAAGTTATTTCAACTTAAGTAAAAACTGAGTACTACTACTTGACATTGATAATGCAGGACCACATATGGGATACTGAACCAAGGTGATGTTTTATACCAGACGTATCACACACGATTTTATTCCTGAGCTTGAGTATTGATCTTTTCTTTCTCCAGACAAACCAGAAGCTGTTCAGTTTGAGTGATAATGGTTGTGTACAGGAAGTTGTTACAAAGAAACCCAAATATGCTTTATTCCATAAAGACAGTTTGTTGTTTGTGTCAAACAACTGTATCTACTCTCTTTTATTTCACCGATCTATGTTTAAAAACATTTTCTTTTGGTGTTCCTGTTATCTGTGAAAGTTTTATGTTGTCTGTTGGACACCTATGTACTTGAATTAAACAGACTAAAATAATTCAAATTTACCATCATGTTTAGTAAAAATAAAATATCTAAATAAAATAAAATGCATTTTCCAAAATATTTGCAGTTTTGTGACATGTTTCATCAAGTGAATTCTACGTAAGTATATCTTCTTTGTTTATTTCTTCTCTTCTGTATTTGTTATCACTTGTGAGGTAACAAACAGGCAACAACATAGATGATACTGTATTCTATATAGCTGAGTCCTTTGTGTGCCTGCCTTTTCTGGAGTTCCATCTGCAGTTGAGTCCTTTGTGTGCCTGCCTTTTCTGGAGTTCCATCTGCAGTTGAGTCCTTTGTGTGTCTGCCTTTTCTGGAGTTCCATCTGCAGTTGAGTCCTTTGTGTCTCTGCCTTTTCCGGAGTTCCATCTGCAGTTGAGTCCTTTGTGTCTCTGCCTTTTCTGGAGTTCCATCTGCAGTTGAGTCCTTTGTGTCTCTGCCTTTTCTGGAGTTCTAGCTGTAGCCGAGTCCTTTGTGTGCCTGTCTTTTTGAGAGTTCTAGCTGTAGCCGAGTCCTTTGTGTGTCTCTGCCTTTTCTGGATTTCTAGCTGTAGCCGAGTCCTTTGTGTGCCTGCCTTTTTGAGAGTTCCATCTGTAGCTGAGTCCTTTGTGTGTCTGCCTTTTCAGAAGTTCTAGCTGTAGCTGTTTATGATCACTTCTAGACCCACCTGACATACAGTTTGACTATAACCACTCTAATATTAATGACCATTTAAATAATCACTGGAACTTGTTTATTTAATTATTATTTAGGAGTCTTCTTCACATTTTGTTGACAAAATTCCAGTTAAACACAAATTAACATATTCTAATTACAGCAGTTGTGAGATTAATGATCCAGAACAACTACATTTGTATGTATACCTTGAATGACAGATGACTTTTGACATATTTTGTAACTACTAAGATCTAATGTTCGATCATCATACATGTACCCACTATATTGGTTAAACATAGAAAATTTTTCATGTCCATCAACTAACAAAGAAAAGGTTTAAACACAATTTTTTCCTCATCTTAACTTAATTTAACAATAGTATAATTTTGCATTGAGTTGATGAAAAAAAACTCAATAATTTGACGAGTAGAAATTATCCAAAAATGTGATAAGTTACACATCAGTAGCTTAAACATTTACAAAAACTATGTATCAACATTTAAACTCAAGATTTTCCAAAGTATAATAGTAAGAAGATCCAACTTACTCATACATGTCCCATCGACTTGTTATTATGGGATTCTTCGTTTTCTATAGAATGAAAAGCAATGTACATTTCATTTATAATAATGTCTTAATTAAAGCAATTAATTAACAGTGTTTGTTTGCTTGTTCTTAAGCACAAAGCTACACAATGAGCTATCTATGCTGTGCCCACCTAAGGTATTAAAATCCAGTCTTTACCATTATAAGCCTTTGGACTTACTGCTGGGCCACTGAGGGGCAATACAACAGTGAGTTATCACTTTTCTTAACTGATAAAGAATAAAATTTGGAGAGTTTCTAAAGAAAATTTTTTAAATAACAGGAAGTCACAACTCAAAGCAGGATAAGGGTGATAAATCATTAATGTTTCTTTAATTCCTAATATACTTTCTTCATTAACACTAATAATGATATTAAATTGGTCAATTCTTGTTAGGTAGTATATAGTTTAATTTAGGCCTCAGAATGATATACTTGTTGTAACTTTGTTGAGAAAAGTCTTGGTCTAAAATCATCCTCACTAAAAAGAAACAGTTTTTATTAAACAAACAAGTTTTTGTATACATCATTAGAATATTTCAGTCTTTCATTCTTACTTATGGTTTTAAAATGATACTGTATCCTATTTGAGGTCACTTGGTTAATAATTGGAGAACATGAGGGGGGTTAGTTTCATTCACCTAATGACAGACCTTGAAGCAGAACTATAAAATCAAGATAAGTTTTAATGTGATATAAATCTGTTTTGTATCTCATCATAACTTAAGTGTTTCATCTTTTTTTTTCAATGACTTATAATTGATCTACACAAATAACCACTTGTGTAATAGGACAAATCCAAATACTGAATCAGTTTATAGCAAGTAAACTTATTTCATAAATGTATGAAGAAACTAACTATGTTACATAAGAGATTATACTTAACAAGTCACAAGTAAAGAACATAGTAACACTACTGAACCAGTAGCTAAACGTTTTAAAGCAAAATTTGCAGATTTATTGCATGTTTACATACATTCTGCATTTTATTTCTTAAATACTCCCATCCCCTGGTGGCTCAGTGGTAAGTCTGAGGACTTATAACACTAAAATCGATTTCTGATATCCTCAATGGGCAGAATACAGCTAGCACATTGTGTAGCTTTATGCTTGACAATAAACTCCACTTAAAAAATTAAAACATAATACATAAGTGAAAAGTACTCTTTATTGGAGGTATTAATTATAAGAAATCTTTTGAAGTGATCTCTTACAGTTTCATGCCTTCTTCAAAGTCACTGACCTTAAGATAAGTGCTAGAAAATGAAATTTTAATTGCTAAATCACTTTAATTTAAGACAACGTTGGCTGACATTACTACTACGTTGCTAACAGGACTTAAGGTTAACTTTCGTCATGGACTACGTCAGACATCTGTGACCAGATAATAATGTTAGTTGGAAAACATGCAGGATTAGAGATGTAGATAGGTGACAAGATTATCAGCTATTTTTCTTTCTGATACAACCAGCTAGTTATGTTGGTTGAATACAAACTGGTAGTAAACAGTTACCTTAAGTAATTAGTACTATAAACAGTAAGTATTTGAAACTCCAAAATTACAGAACTAAAGCAAACAAAGACAATTGTACATTTCAACAATATTTCCTACATTACTACCATATTTTGCTAGTATATGAATCTTCATGGATACTATGATAGGAATGAAAGAAACACAGTTGTCTTTACTTTTCTCTATTCTGTTACCTGAGCAATGATATTTTTCTTTATCATCATGAGAAATGTTTTTTTGATTGTTTGATCATCATGAGAAAAAAAATGGAAAGGCATTATACAAACAAGCATCCAAACGAATGTGAAACCCGTCAAGTACATCATCAGACAAGTAAAATTAACAACCTAAACACAAGATCTTCCTGCATGCTAGAGGCAGACTACATGAATGAGGCCACAAAGAAGTTGTAGAACTTCTGATATTGATAGAAATATTAGTAGTAGATAACGTTGACATCAGAATTATGTACTAGCTATATGTGGATAACAGATTATTGAAATACAGCAATAAGGAAGTTGAGATAGTTTAAAATACTTGATATTTTGAAAAAGTAGTATAACTTGTATACATTTTAATATATTGCAAAACTACAAACCAAAGTTTTACTGGTAGTAGCTTTTAATTATATGAATTGCACAAAAAGTTTATAAATAAAATACCATTTACTAGTTTTAGATTTTTCCTGTACAGTTATCAGATAAACAAACATTAAAACTCTCAATTGGTATAAAAACCTTTCAACTTACAGTTGTAATGGGACTTTTAGACACCGTCAGCTTGTGATATGGCTGAACGATGGGTAGCCCGAGTGGAGTAACCCACTCAACTGGTTGACCACGGACTTGGGATATTAATCTGGCACTTTCAGTAAACCAGTCCTGGAAAGAAGAAACAGCTCAGAGATGAATAAAATTCTGAATAAAAATTTCTTGAAACATTTAATTTATTACATAAAAAATTAGTTTCTTTCTGGAATATATGAAGGATTTAACATTTAGCAGTTTTAACAAGTCTCTTTCTATCCACACTATTTAAGAAGTGTTCTTGATTAGAATAAATAAATATCATGCATACACTTGATTTAATGGCTGAAATTAAAAAAGCGAGTTATCTTAGAATTTCAGCTTTTCATGCTTATTTGAGAACAGAACAATTTATCACAATGAAATATAAATTTACTTAATCTTAAGAACTTGTGAGTGGAAGCAAAGAAAAATATGTAATAATATGTCAACCACAATATATCTGTCACATGATGAGGCTTTTTGCTCAATCCCAGGGTTCATCAGGCCAGCTGGATTATGACAAATACAACAGTAGTGGTCTAGATGCTATTCATATCATTAGTTGCATGATAAACAATTGTTATGGTGTGATCTAGATTAAGTGAAGTGTTAGTATTATAAATGTTATTTAAGTCCTTAGGTTTTGTCATCATCAG